CCGGGTTTGGAGCCAGAGGATGGGAGTTCGAATCCCCCCACCTGTGCCTCCAAGAGAAGAGCCAGCCTGGGTGGCCTTGGGCAAGCTGAGCAGTCCCACAGCACCCCTAGTGGAAAGGAAGGGTAAAGAACTTCTGGAAGTTGTCTGGAACATCCTCAAAAAGGGTGGTTGTAAGTCAGAATTGATTTGATGCACACAATGATGATTAATCTTGTAAGCTGCCTTGGGTCTTCTTGAGGAGAAAGACGGAGTAGCAATATTTCAAACACATAAATAAATCATATTTATATATGCAGATGGGGTGGGAGGAATGAGAAATACATCCAAATATGGTGGATCGTTAAGGGTCAATTAGCAGTGCTTACGAAGTAACAAGGAGAGGTCTTATCAGTGGCCGTTGTTCAGTTGTCCTCAGCAGTGATAAAGATATCCAGAGCTTTAAGGCCTCAGCTCAAATCCCAGAATCCCCCAGCTGTAGCCACCTGGGGGTTCTGGAAATTGCTGATTTTTTTTTAAAAAAAGTAACAGCCAAAATGCTCTTGAGTTTTTGTGCTGGCTGTAACACAAATTAAGCTGCCTTTTTTTGCAGAAATGGAATAGCAGGTCATGATTTCAAACTCAGAACATCCAAGTCCTTCACGCTCCTATACTTCTGCAAAAAAGCAGCTTTTCCAAGCTGACTCCATCAAAGTACGTAGTATTATTTAGTATGTCCAAGCACCAATAATATTAAGTACAGTAGGACCATCCATATCCGTAGGGCATCAATTCCAAGCCCCCACGCCAATGCTGAAAACTGTAGATAACAGCAAACCCTTTACATAGTATGGTCTCTGTCTCTCTCTAGTGGCCAGTTCTGGTAACTACATCATGTAAAAACGTATTTCTCGATTTGTTTTCTTAATATTTATAATATTTTCAGACTGCGGATAAGCGAATCAGCGGATACCGATCCCGCGGTTGCAGGGATCCTACTGTACATTCAAGCCTACATAATGTTATGGGAATTCGTTCATGTATTTTCCATTTGCACCCAGTTAGGGCACTTAAGTGCAAGCCGGGCTGTCTTGCACAAACCCACCTTGCCCTTTCTCCCCAACCCAGCATCCCGCTATCTGGCTCCAGGCCACCGCATCTTTGGCAAGAATGGAGGTGCTGAGAATCCCGTCCCATTTCCTCTACCTCCAAGCTCACGTCTCGCTCGTGCACCAGTTCCTGAATCCGAGGGACGGCCTCCCGTAGGAGCTGTTCTGCCTCTGAAGGTCCCAAGTCCTTCCAGCTCAGCCTTAGCACGTTCTCGGGCTCCTGGGTCGCCTGAGGGGGGAAAGAAAAACCCAAAATCCAGAGTGTCAGAGCACCCTCCCATCCTGGGCAGGCCAGGTCAGAGTGATGGCAGAATCAGCCGGGCCCCGGCCATGCAGCCAACATCAACTAGGGATGCTTATACAGTGTTGCCTCGCTGGACAGTTACCCCACATGACAGTTTTTTTGCTAGACCTTGGCTTTTTGCAATCGCTATAGCGATTCGCAAAACAGTGATTCCTATGGGGGAATTTCGCTGGACAATGTTTGGTCTCTGCTTCGCAAACCGATTTTCACTAGAAGACTATTTTGACAGCTCCCTCCGCGCTCGCAAACAGGTGTTTTCGGGACCTAAGCTTCGCAAGACAGCGATTTAAACAGCTGACTGGCGGTTCGCAAAGCGGTTTTCCTATGGCAGATCTTCGCTAGACAATGACAATTCTTCCCCATTGGAACGCATTAAATGGGTTTCAGTGCATTCCAATGGGGAAATGCTTTTCGCTAGACAATGATTTCACTAAACAGCAATTTCAGTGGAATGGATTATCATCGTCTAGCGAGGCACCACTGTATTACATTTTATAGATTTTTGAGCAAAGAGGTGGGAATACACCAATCAGCAGTCGATGCATATACATCTCTAATACTCATCCCCTTAATGTACTGGCTACCTCCTTAATTCATAATGCTAATCTTGCATTTATTTTTTTTCGAGGGAATCATCACTTTCGTCCTGCCTTCTTATCTGCTCTTGGCTTCCTCATCAGTTACTGAATTTGTGAGAAAACTGTCGCCATCTAATGTCCTCGTGATATCTCAGTGCCTTTGGCTATGCTACCAAATATCCCTGGTGTTCTTACACAGACCTTCATGGGACATAATGTTCCTTACTCAGCGCTCCCCTCTGGATTAGGCCTAAAAGGCCAACCATGAACAGTAATAATATACAGAAGTTTCATTTCGGAAGGGATGTCATGCTGAATGTTATTTCCAATTTCCCCCACACTCTGTCAACACTCGTAGTTCTCATCTCACCCAGAAGCACCTCTTTTGTGAAGATAACAGCTCTTGATTGCCCATTCAAGACCAAGCCATACTGAACATGTTGGGTTGCAAGAAGAAAGCTCATAAGACTAGAGAAAATGCATTTCCCCCACCCACTGTCAGTGTGTGGACACTGCTCTGGAAATTCTAGCTA